AAAAACTAAAGATATTGTGTCTACCTGTAACTAAAAAATAAATATTTGGAAAAAAAAATTTCCCTTAGTTTCTATGATAGCTTTTTACTTAATTCGTTTCTATTCATTAAAATTATGAATTGATTTTCATGATGGCATTGATTTAAACTTGTTCGTTAGTGAAATGGTTCAATATTATATACTTGTTCTTTTTACTCTTATATAGTACAGTTCATTAAATTAAAGTAATTTTCATTAATAGAATCCAAACAATTTATAAATAGTTGAAGCCAGATGAAAGTTTTTCTAAAATTTTTTCCAATCCTTTATATAAACTATTCCTTTGATTTGGTTACTAATTGGCAAGTTTCATCAGTTATTATATTTCCCTCATACTTTTGAAAAGCCATGTTTTGAACATGCTGAGCTTAATTCATCTAATTTACTTTTCTATACACATATGTAGATAATTTTGCAGTATGTAGTGTGTGAATTCAGAGAATCTCTCTGGTCTATCTACTGATTGTTCCTAAGTCATTTATTTGATAATTACCAGAACTTTCGTTTTGATCATCCATCCTTCCACTTTGGTGGGCATTAAGCAATGCATTATTTGGGTATGTACTTAAGCTCCAAAAATTGACTTTCTTCTTAGTAAAATAAACAGAACCTATTTCCTCTTAAAACCACAAATCTTGACTTTCTTCTCTGACCTTCCTGTGAACAGGGACTCTGGAAAAAGAAGTGTTAAATGTGGAGTTTTAAGGAATATTGTGCTCAGTGTTTATTTGTAATTTTTTAATTAACATATCTGACCTCAGACAAATGAAAATCACATTTTAAAATGTAAAAAATTAATTGAAATTCATCTGGGATCAGGAATATATTAAAAGGTTGCCAGACAAATCTAAAGCATATGAAGAACTAAATGTAAAGACACAGGACATACAGAGGAGGTTTTTCCAAATCCTGAAAGCCAGAAATCTTCCCCACCCACCAAGTATGAAGTGATCCATGTGGGAATGTTTGAGCAGTTTTCCATTTGAGTTAATTTGTTTTCGAGTAAATTTGTTACCTATTATTCAAATGAAATTAGAGGTTCTTTTTTGAAGGGTAGAAAGAGGTATCCTTATCTTTTATGAATATGCATGAAAAAGAACTGCTAAAAGGGTCATGCAAAGTAGGAAAAACTGTTTTCTTGTAACTTCCATGTGAATTACCAAATAGTTCAAAAAGTGATTAAAAATTTGTATCTCCTTCATCTGTAGAACTCAACACAGAGGAAGAGTTCTGCTCCATCTCAGTGGATGTGAACCTGTCTAGACTGTATGTTTGTTTTGTTAAGGCAAAAACATTGCTCCTCATTTACCACAATCATTTTACAGCTCTCTGATGTGGTTGCATAAACCTTCCTGATTTTTAAAAATTAAAATTGGTTTTGTGCCAACTGAATTTCTTTTCCTGGAACTCATAAATGGTTGATGTATTTTAGAGGTTGAACATTAGTAGCACTGTGTCAACTATTGTGTGTTTTTTAAGATTTACGGTATCAGGAAAAACACCTGCTGAAGATCGCCTTTGTTTTCTCATGATGTCATCAGGTCTTTGCAGCTGGTGAAAGAGAATTTGGAGATGTGTTGTTCCTCACACTTGAATTTTGTTTGCCTGATTATACATTTCCTGAGGTCAGGGTCTATACCCGTATATTGTTAAGAGTTAGTTGTATCAACTACAGTGCTCAGCCTGTAGAAATACTCACAATTGGGACCTGTAATATTTTCCCATTTGTTCAGTTTTCTATAGTTCAAGTAGTTTGTTCAATGGGACAACATAGTAAGGTGGTTAGATGTATAAATAGCTAGCCTAGAATTTACTTTTGTATACTATTTCTTTAATTCTTCCATCTGTGGAGAACAGCACTGGTCTAATGATATCTTCAAATGACATGAACTTGTTTCTTTCAAGGAACTAGAGTATGCTGTTTCGAAATGAAAACTTCCTAGTCCCTCTTCAGACATTTCATAAGAGTGTAGGAACTCCAGAAACTATTGTATTATGTTCTTCGTTTTAACCTGGATGTTTCTGCTATAGCATGGGTTTCTGTATGAAAAATTAACTTCTATGTGATTGGTAAATGTGGGAGGTAGGTCCATGTGGGATGGGTATCAGCTCACCGGCAAATTTCCCAGATGAGAGCAGTCAGAAAAATATTAATAGAATTGATTATAACCTTAAGATGGCAAAAACCTTTCTATTTGATTGACTCACTAGAAGCAGAAGCCTGTAGGAAAATTTCAAAGCTGCACCTGCTCCACGACCTGCCCTTGGAGAGAGATGCCTTAGCTCCTGGGAGATACACTTCCTCCCATGCTAGCCTCCATGACAGGTTCACTGTGAAAAACTTGGTTCCGAGTTGCATTGTGTCCATCACCCCTTATGCAATTAATATTGCCAGCATTTTTGTTTATTTGTGTGCATTTTAAATATCTATGGAGGCCATAATTGCAAATTAAAACAGTTTTGTGTATTCTGTTTCTCAAGATATTTTCCCACAAACTCTCTCCCACTACTTTGAGACAATTCAAAACTCAAAATTTGGTGGAAAACTTGTATTAAACAAGAAATATTTACCTACCTATGTGCACCAACAGTGAGGTTGACCGGGTTGTACATTGCAGAATTCCAAGGCAATACATTCATATAGACTATGAAGAACATGGTGGCATTTCCTTGTATTTAAATAATACAAGCAGCTTTGTAGCTTTAAGGTTAAATAGTTCTTTGAGGCTTTTTTTTTTTTTTTGAAGGCAGTGGTACCAGGGATTGAACTCAAGGGCACTCGACCACTGAGCCACACTCCCAGTCCTATTTTGTATTTTATTTAGAGACAGGGTCAGGTCTCACTGAGTTACTTAGGTCCTATCTAAGTTGCTGAGACTGACTTTGAACATATGATGCTCCTGCCTCAGCCTCTTGAGCTGCTGGGTTACAAGCATGAGCCAGCATGCCTGGTGTTCTTTGAGGCTTTTAACAACGGACAGCAGGGTATTCTTTAATCCAGCTTATTCTATGTTACAATATATACTATCTGACAATATTGGCTAAGGGGAGGAATTTACACCATCATTTCTCTGGCTTCAGGTTTTTGGCATGATTATAGTTTCTGAATTGTCTTGTTTGGTAAATTAGCCTGCTTTTGTTTGCAAGCCTACTACCAGTAATTTTGATTGTGCCCAATACTTCAAATTCATAACAAGCAGGCTTTATGGTAGTTGTTTATTCAACTATGTAAAATAATATAGGACAGGAAAAAAATAAGGTGTACAGATGGGTATCTTACCTCCTCAGTCTGGGGCACTTCTTAGCAGTTCAAGGTTGAGGGGAGGAGGTCTCAGAAGGTGGTGTGTGAGACACCCCGATAGAAGCCTTTATCTACCAAGAGAAACTAACATCTTGTGCAATAGCTTATGGGTATTGAGGGTCTAGGTCCCAAATACTTGTTTATAATCTAAACTACACCTACAGTGGGTCTGGTATTTAGAGTTCATTCACAGTTCTTCCAGTCTGGTTGTGGTTCACCAGAAAAGAGTTATTTTTACCATAAACAATGTTGTCTCCTTAAGTAGCTGAAATTCTACCTTTATGAGTTTCTAGAGAAACAGAGGTAGGAGGTGACCTCAAGGTCACAAGGTCCTATCATCTAGTCTTTTGCTGTTAAGAAGACAGAAAAACCTTCTTTCTGTTTATAACCCCACCCCACCCCGCTGGAAAACAAAACAAAACAAAACTGCTTTTCTTTTGGGGTTGTTATGGATTAAGTGTTTTTTAGCTTTTATGTATTATATATTTATCTTAATTGACAGTAATTGTATCTGTCATGTTAGATTTCAGGAAGAAGTAGCTATTATGTGTATGTTTTCAATTAACTTTGTTTAATGAAAAGTTCTAGGAAATAGTTATTGAATATCTACCAAATTTATAGGTATCATTCATGGTCATCATAATTCTTTTTAAAAATGGATATTATGGGGGCTGGCAGTGTAGTTTAGTGGTCAAGGACATGCTTAGCAAGCATGGGGCTCTAGGCTCAATCCCTAGTGCACACACAGAAATTTGTAGAAGTACTTTTCTATGGAAAAGCAAATGTGGTGTCATGGGGAAAACTCATTCCATGTGTTAAAACCAAGGACATAATGTGTGTTTTCCATGGAGTGTGTTTGCATGTGGAAGCGTTGGGAGGAAGGAAAAATTATATAAGTGTGAATGGGATATGTTCCAAAATACTTCTAGTCAATAAATGCATGTGATTGGACAAGTTGATGTTTTTGAGATATTGATTTGTTCTTTAAAAAATATACATATTTACTAATGTTCATTCCATACACATTTTAAGTTATTTCTTACAAATTATGATTTTGATCCCTTGTCTTTCATAAGAGACAATCTTGATAACTTGTAGAACTGATGATCTCCCTGAGATCCTTAAAGTTTAAATGAAAAATAATGCTTCAAGACAAAATGGTAATTTGAATATTTTTAAGAAGACTTTTCATGCTGCTTAAAAATCATTTTTTTATTAAAAATAAAGCCTCTTGAGTTTCCTATGGGATAATTATGTGTTCAAGATGCCCATTACAATTTACTTTTTAAAAATAATCTTTATTTACATAATTAGATAATTATTTCCCTTGAATTTCATTTATATTGTTAATTTCTTAATATGCATGCTAAATATGTTGTCTATTTACAAATTATGTATTAAGTTTGAGTTATTGAAATCACATATATTTTACTGATAAAAGCTGAAATAGAATGTTAGCATTTTCTCAATATTGTATTAGTAATATTTACTGTCTATATAAAAGAGAATCCATGGTATTTTAAATTTTCTGGCCTGAAGAAACTAGAAATTAACATAAATTAATAACAGTCATTAGGATATTATAATTATACTATAAGCTTTAATTTTTCAAGAGGAAATTTGAAGCAAATGATATTTTGTTGTCTATTATATTTTGCAGGTACATTTTCTTGATTTTAAATTAGTGTCTCCCAGTCAGAAAATGGAAAGCCTAATGTGGATTAGGGAATTTGCAAAGAAAATGAAAAAAAGAAAAATTTTATTATATGGTCTTCTCATAAATTACTCACAGGTAGGTAAAATGTAGATATCACCTAAATGTATGTTTTGTGGACTATAATTTTAAGAAAATAAGTCAGAAACTTGTTGGAAGCAAATGGTTATTAATAAGGGAAATTAAAATTGTGAGATTACTAATCTACTAATGTGCTATAATAACAACTTTTTGGTACTGGAAGAGAAATTAAAAATTCTATGTTTCAAAAATAAAAATAATGATGTACATTGGTCAATAAATTATACTAGGTAGCCCACATAGTATTGTCAGATTAATTTTTTTTCCTTTTTATTAAATTTTTGGTATTGGGGATTTAAGCCAGGGGCAGTTCAACACTAAGCCCCATTTCTATCCTTCTTTATTTTTTATTTTTTAGTTTGATATAGGGTTTCACTAAGTTGCTTACGGCCTTGCTAAGTTGCCGGGGCTGGCATTGAACTTGCAGTCCTCTTGCCTCAGCCTCCTGAGCTGCTGGCATTACAGGTGTGTGCCACCATGCCCAGCAGGATTGTCAGATTTAGCAAATAAACAGAGAAAATTCCCAGAGTTGAACTTTAGATGAACAATGTTTTGTCAGTATGTTCCAAAGTTGGAATTTAAATTTTTAATTGCTTTCCTATATTTAACTAGCAATTCTATAAGGCTCATGGTATTGCTTACTTTCATTATTTTTTTAAATTAATTTATTCATTCTTATACACAACAGCAGAATGCATTTCAATTCATAGTACACGTTTAAAGCACAATTTTTCATCCTCTGGTTGTACACAAAGTAGAGTCACACCATTTGAGTCTTCATACATGTACTTAGGGTAATGATGTCCATCTCATTCCACCATTTTTCCAAACCCCATACCCTCTTGTTTCTCCTCCCTCCCCTTTTCCCTATCCAAAGTTCAACTTGCTGCTTATAAACATAGTGATAACAAATGTACTTTTTCTCTAGTTAATTACCATACCTTCTCATAATCTGAATGACAAATATCGACTGTCAGTGCTTAAGTAATGATGAAAGTAAGCTTTCAAGATTATATATACCATTGAAAGAGTTACAGTTAAAAAAGTTTGATAAACATCAATACATAGAGTTAAACACACTTTTTAAATGAAGTGTTTTGCACAAATCCAAGATGTACTGACAAGTGTTTCACATCTTCAAATTGGGGGAAAGGGAAATACTGTTTTTTATTTGCTCCTATAACTCTGTAATCATGAACAGCTCGTGAGATTACTATTCCCTAGATCCAACTTTGGGAAACACTTCTTGCCACATATCATAAGCAGAGGTCACTGTCTTACCAACTTACGTCCTGTATGAATTTTTCCACTTGGTTAATTCAGTATTTCCATTGCTGAGTGCCTAATTGACAGTCATTCTGCCAGCACTATGTATATATAATGTACATTAGGCAGAACTTGTATTCACTGTGCATTGAAAAAAAATCCACAATTTAAACAGTGTTGGTTTGTGCTTTCCATGGTGGTGTGAGGTGGAACTTTTCCTAGTGTTCATACATTAGGCTTTAATCCCTAAATCTAATCCTTCTCTATGATTACCATTTTTATTTTCCTACATTGTTACTGTATATCCCTTTAATTCTCTTATCAGAGGAGCCTTTCTAGATTTTTTATTAGTTTTTTTCTAAGACATAACATCAAGTGCTGCTTCATTGGATAGATTTTTCCATGTGTTAACAACTCTTTGGAAGGAAATATGTATCAATTTGACTGTGAAGTAAGAGTTTAACACATGGTTTCTCTTGTTTAAGGAAGGCCTGTTTTCCATATGTGATATTTCTGATAATGTAGGTAGATGGTCTCTGACTTCTTTCGTATTTTTTTGACTGTACCTTTACAATGCTGATTTATATAGTGTTTATAGTTAAATAGGATTAGGTAAGCTTTTCTTTATAATCACTTAGCACCTGCTGTGGCTGCTTCCCATTTGTGTTTGCACAGGCTTCATTTACACTTATGTGTAGGACATGCTGTGTTTGGTGAATTTAAGCTCATTAGTTTTGTTTCATTGCTTCAGTTTTTTCATATCATTAGGATTCATAATATAGCATAAATTTCTATTTTATATAATTTATAAATTAGATGTCTATATTTCTTGTGTAGTTTTAGGAAAAATCTGATTCAGAAAATGTTAAGAATGAATTCCTTTTCTAATATCTACAAATATTCTACAGTGTTGTGCGTGACCAGTTATTAATGACTTTTTGGTAATTCAGTGACAAATCCATCTAATTATAATCTTTCATCAGTTACTTTATTTTCTTTTAATTATATCATAAGAAACGGCTAAATGTTTTGCTGAACTCCAAATATATCCCAGATGTGTGCATTTTTTGAGATCATAGAGATGATTTGCTAAATTGTTAAATACACTTGATTCCTTAGTTGTGTCAATGTAGTAAAGCACTGATTAACTTTTACCAAAATTGTTGTAAATGAATTAAAGATTTGAAACTTATAGTCTAAACTAGAGTGTTAGTAACTGTAAAACACTGTGAACTTTTCCTCACAATTTGTTGGATAATTTTAAATGGTCATATCACTCTTCCATAATCACATAAACAGAACTGTGGATAATGTAAATGAGATTTTATAGTTTAATATGTATAAAAGATCTTAGTCTCTTTCAAAGTATTAAAATCTAGGAACAAAATATTACTTTTCTTTCATTTTTAATCCAACATTGCCATGCAAGTCATTGAGGTATGTGATATAAAATTATATTGGGGAAACATATCCTAATTATCTGAAATTTTTTGAGAATATGGCAGTGAGATATATTTCTGGCATGCGTATTTCAGGCCAGTAGCTTAGAATTTACAGACTTATTGAAGTCTAAAATATTTTTATAGTGAATTTTTGTGAAAATATTTACAAGTATACATATTTCAATAAGTTGTTACATATGAAGTTCTCTGATAACCAAAAATTTTAAGGTCTATAAAATTTAGAAGCTCCTGTAGTAGTTTTCTACTTAATATGTGCATTTTACATACTTGGGGATTTAGAGAGAGAACTACACAGGCTCAAGGTTAAAGAGTTTTCTATAACCATCTTGTAACTAATGGTTTATTCTACCAAATTAGTGTTTATTTCTTTCTAAATTGAAAAACCATGTAACATGAATAACTATGTACATTTTCTAAGGCCCCAGATTATCTATTTGTGAAATGCACCCATTATAACTTGAAATTTGTGTCATATGAGAAGGTGGAAACCTGGGAGACATGCTGGCTATGCCAGGTAACACTTAGTATGTCTCTCACTCTAACATGTTATCTCTGGAACGTGTGTCTGGTTTTTCTTTCTTTTCCATATGTAGCCAAAACATTCACCTGTATTTTCTTTCTTTCTTTCAGAAATAAATTATTCATTGCTTTTAGTAAAGTTCAGAAAGGTATTTTTGTTTGCGGACATCATTAGAAAAATAACGTGCAAGACTACAAAGGGGAGTTTGAAGATTCACCCAGGAAAGGTTGAGGAAAATTATTAAACATGAGTGCAGACGTTTACTATACCCATATTCTCTTTCTCCTTTCTTCCCACCGAGCTGTTCTATGTTGGGTTTCATATAGTAGGGAATAGGACTTAAGATTCCTTTTGGCATAGCATCTTAGGATGGGAACATCGGGAAGGACTGCACCTAATGGCCCAACTGAAGAAACCAAGCTCAGAGAGGTCAGGTGATCCTGCTCTACCACCCTCTCCCTGCTCCAGAATTCCACTTTTTTTGTTCCTACAACTACAGATAAGGAGGGCATTCAAAAAAGGAAGAAATTTATCAAAGCATTTCCATAAGTTTATTTTTAGTAATTATTTGTAAAAGATTTAAGAATAATTGTGTAAAAGTCCAAAGCTAGATATACATGAAGGCTTTTTTCTTTTTCTTTCTGTTTTTTTTTTTTTCCTTAATAGTATTGCATTAGAATGGAACTCTATAAATTGGCTTTGTATCGCAGAGTATAACAGACCACTCTACTTGGGTTAAATATAATCATCCTTTTCTTTTGTCTGAATTTTTCCTTGTAATTAACCACAAGTAAACTCATAATAAAAAGAACTATAATATGCACAAGTCCGACTGCTGTAAGGTAACTTTGGGCTCAAATACTGAATTTGTAAGGTACAATATCAGTCTATCTAAAATAATACATTTGCTCTGTGTCTTCTCTGCATAGGATATATAAAGTGTGCATGATCATTGTAGACTATATGGATAAATGCTATTAAATAGGGAAAAAAAACCTTTTTAAAAATTATGCTAATCTTGGGGAAGTGAGACTGTTTCTTCAGCAAGCAATTACTTGGAATTCAACTTGGAATTATTTACTAAACACATACTTTCCATGGCGCTGAATCATATGGCATGCACACCAAACATGCAATACCAAATCTGTTTACAGAAACCCAGAATACCATGCTCAGAGTAAAGCAGGCTTTTTTTTCTTGATGTGGAAATGTTTATGAGAATAAATATTTTTCACTTTCAGTAGTGTTTTGGCCTTTAGAGTTGATCATTTGGGAAAATGTGAAAGTCATAAAATATAATGTCTTCAAAATTGTCTGAATTTGAGAAACAAAATTGTTTTTAGGGAGTTTGTTCAGCTCACTTGGTTGACTCATTAAGGGCTGACAGTAACATTATTTTACTTATGTATAAATGAAATGCAATATTAAGGCACAATTTTTTGTTACATATCTTTCCAGTTTTTGATAAAAGAAGAAACTTTTTTATAAAAATAAAGACAAATTCCTTCTGAGGAGGTACTACTATGAAAAGTTCTTAAGGAACTAATTCTTTTAGCCATGTATTCTTTATCACTGTATAACCAGTACTTGATGGCTTCAAAGAACATCATTCATTATTTCATAGTCTCTGTTTCTCTTCTGCTTTGGGTATCTATCTCAAGGCTACAATCATTCCAGGATTCTCCTGGGAACAATCCTCTTTCCAGTTCACTCACCTGTTAGCAGGATTCATTTCCATGTGGGTTAAC